TTTTTTTTTTTTTTAATGTATGCTCAAGTATTTGCAGATCACAGACCAATGCTTACCATACATCTTAAAATTACAACATCTTGAAGATTTGGTTCTAGAGGGGTGTTTTGGCCTAGACGATAGCAGCCTTGAGGTCCTCAGATATGGCTGCAAGTCGTTAAAGGTATTGAGTGATAATTAGTTCGCTTTAGGATGTCCTTTTGTTGTTTCAAATTATAATATTTTCTTATTTCATTTTGTTGTGACATAGTGTTAGAAAGAAGTTAAATGTGATACATGTATATATCATTTGAAATGACATTTGGAGACTGACAAGTTGAGCCCACATGCATATTGCTCATCTAGGAGCTTTGGGTCTTAATTTCTAGAATGGGGTGTGAATATAAGGCGGATTTAGTAGGTTGAAAGTTGCAATTATCATTTCACAACTCGCTTCATGAGGCATTTGTGTCAAATATTACGTAAATGCTCGGGTGTGACCGATGAAGGTCTCTCCTCTCTAGGAGCCCACATGTGTGTCATCTAGGAGCTCACATGTGTCAACACTTTGAGGCAGTTGAGCTTACGTAAATGCTCGGGTGTGACCGATGATGGTCTCTCCTCTCTTGTCACCAAACACAGATATTTAAGGAAGCTGGATATCACGTGTTGCCACAAACTCACTTACGTTTCCATCGCCCACATTATGAATTCATGCACAACTCTAACTTCTCTCAGGATGGAGTCATGTACTCTTGTTCCAAGAGAAGCATTTGTTTTGATTGGACTATTTTGCTTCTCAAGATTTTATTTCATCTCCTTGTTGTTTATGCTTTTGGACTGTTAAAAGAGGTATGAAGTCATATATTAAAATTGGTTTTCACCAACCCGAGTAACCCGAGAAACCCGAGTTACCCGACCCTACCTGAGGTCACCCGAAAGGTTGTGGGTTTGTAGACTTAAGAGAGTGTCGCAGCCTAAAATTTCTCAACTCGTACTGATCGGGTCGGCTCAATTTTTCGGCTAAACCCGACCCTACCCGGCCGATTTACACCCCTAATTGTGACTGAGTTGAGCATTAGACAATACTTGTCTCAATCTTGAGACACAAGAAAAACGTGGGCTCCAGGTTTGTGCCACCGTGACATCATTCTTATGACGTCACTAAATTAATTTGAGCGCACGTTTCAAGACAAACAGGCGTTCAAGTCTCTCCCACTACTCTTACTTTCCAGTGGCTTATACAGGTATTATGTGTTAATCTTGGGTCACTTTCAAATCCTAAAAATTCTCACTTTAAACCACATTTTCTATGTTACCCGCTATGAACTTCTGAACTCTATGTTACTGCTCCGTTTCTGACTAAGGTAAGCTGTCCCCTTTACCCCTATTAGGATATTCCTAGAAAATATGGTCTTTTTTTTTTTTTTTTGTCATTCCTTTGAGGGAAATTTTTTTGTCTTTTTAATTTTATTAGTATTCTTTTATGTCTAGTTTGATTTCAGTTTGAAGGGGTCAAAATTTAGGTATGGTTTTTGGATTATGAAGCTAAGGTTTATCTTTGATTATATAAATGACTTTGCATGTCATACAAATTGTGAAACGTTTTTGTTTTTTTGTTTTTTGTTTTCTTTGTGTTGTATTTCAGTACTTTGCTCTAAAGAGCAAACAAATTCGCTGTGTATATGTGGAAATGACAATTTCGATGGAAAGCAGGGGGAAGAAGTACAATTTATACAATTTCTAACATAAATGTTATCTAGTTTAAGCCCAACTTAAGGGAAGTAATCCTAGGAATGGTTTTTGATAATCAAGCAATGGTTTTTCTTTTATATATGAGTAAAAGAATCTTCTTTTGATACTTTTCATTTAGACCCAAACATATGGGAAATTGACTTTATTTTATATGTAAAGCAGAAATGGTTCCCTTATCAATCTTTTCATCAAGATCCAGAATTTGTTGCTAAGCACCTTCACAACACTAACAATGTCGTATCGTCTAAAATGCGCCACCTTTTCCATTTGTCGGATGTTTCCTTCCATGAGGTAGGTACACATCGCTTACTACATCCAATGTGTGTGATGATGGTGAAACGAATTTCATAAAGTTTGGTGTTGAGTTTTTAAATCTACCGATTTTTTCGGGTGCCAAGTGGTTTGGCTTCCCTGGATATTATCATTGTAATGGCATAATTTGCCTGGATTGGCTTTATGGGAACATGCTGTTGTGCAATCCGGTATTGAACGAGTATGTGCTTGTGAAATCAGGCAGTGCAAGCTCGGAATGGGATTTGGCTCCGATTTGAGCAAAGAAATGGGATTTGGATACGATTTGAGAACTGAGGGATACAAGATTGTTAGGATTTTAGCTGCTGATGATGCTATTGATGGACCAATAATTATGCTTTTTGATTCTGATAGAGATGATGATATTGATGGATGAAGAACTTGTCCTTACTATGGATCTGAGGTAACCACCCTTGGTTCTAGTATCTGGAGAAAGAATGGGATGCTTATAGACTGTTTCTCATTACGATCACTCTACAGTCATACATACTGCAAAGGAGTGTTTTATTGGATGACATATTCTATTGAGGGCGTGATCCTTGCGTTTGACATGTGTGAGGAGATATTTCGTTGTATAAAGCCTCCGAATGATGTTTTTGTATGTGATGGATCACATTGGAGGACTGATCTCATGGCGTGGAATGGCTCTCTCGTTTTATTGTTTGATAATCCTTCTCGTGGGCAAATGAGGAGTGAACCAAGATCCATTGATATGTGGGTGATGAACGACAACAATGGAGGTGGCAGAAGAGGATCTTACTCGTGGATCAAATATCTTACGATAGAAAACCTAAATGGCATGCTTGTGCCATTGACATTTTGGAAGAGTGATGAACTCCTTATGGATGATTTAGAAAAGGAAAAGTTGGTCTCCTACAACATTCATAATAAAGAGTTTAGAGACCTTGACGTTGATGGATGCAGACAGGATGGATTGTCCTACGTTGGAGCCTAAGTGCCCAGTCTGGTTTCGATACTGGAAAAATGCAAGCTCAAATAGAGGTAATGATATATATATATATATATATATAAAAGTTTAAATAATGTGATTATTTAAGTTTAAGTTTAAATTTAAATTTTGAAACACATGTGAAGGTGTTCACATGGTATGAATGCACAGCACGGTGTGAATCCCTTTGGGATTCAAATTGCTTACTCTCCATAGATATCCAATTAACTTATTTGATAAGTTGTCCAATTTGAAATTCAAATTGATTTAAATTTGACTTAAATTGAAATTTGAATTTAAGTTAAAATTGGATTGCATGATAAAATTTTACCCTATTCTTTATCTGTAAAATTGTGCCTACCACAGGGAGGAATCTCCCTATGGTGGCCGGCCATATAGGATAAGGGAGAGAGTGGTTTTTGTTTCAAAATCAAATTTAAAGTTGGAGATAATTATCAAGTTTTATCTTAAAGATAAAGATTAGACTCTTTCTGAGTGTCTGACTACTACTCTATAAAATAGAAGATTGTAGCAAAATTATGAGACACAATTTTTTGCTCTACTAAGTGTTAGTGGCGAGTTTTCTATAGAGAGTAGGAAGGAAAAATTTTCTCCAAAAATTTCACGTCGTGCATGTGTAGGTGTTCGTGAAAACCTTGAGTGTTCTTGCTAATTCCGTTTTGTTTTAGGTGTGCCCACACACACGTTCTTTGTAGATTCAAAGAATTGATAAAGAAAATTTAGGTGTTCTAAACTAGCATTGAAGCGAGAAAAGTTTGAAATCAAAGAATACAAGTTATCATCCTAATCGGTTGCTAGGTATAATTCCTAATCCGGTTCTTGGTAAATAAATTAATGTGATTAATTTATTTGTACATAAATTAATATAATCTATAGAGTATCTTAAAGATTTTATGAAAATTTTTATTATACACGATCCGTTACTCACATGCTTCCGAATTTGAAATCGTTTGAGAAACTAACATTATAACATGTATGAAGTTGATATGAAGTAATACCTTTTCTGAACATCGGGTTCAAGATTTGATTTTTTTTTTTTTTGCTAATGATATTCATGGGTTTCAAGCTTGATTATGATATGGTACTATATTTGGTTGGCGGACTCTTGACTTTATCTTACGCTATGTTATGTATCACTTGTATGATATTCATATTTTAATGGATAGTCTTCCCTTTATTTTAATAGATGCGTATCAAGTTTCTAGCAAGCTCATATGTCCATTTATTCGTATTCTCCTAATTATATCATTTTACATTAATTAAAATATTTAGAGGGTCATAATTTTTTTGGCTGATGTGATATGAATTTTTAATTGACATAGTATTTTAATTTACGTGGCATAATAATATTATTAAAGGAACATGAAATGAGATGAATAAAGAGATTGATTTTCTATTTAAGTATTGTTTAAAACGTAAAAGGCCTGAAAGGTTTTTTGTTTTTTCTTTCAGGGCAAAAGTCTTGAGAAATTTTAAATATATGTTGATGAATTGGCTTGAGAAATTAAAAGAAAATGCAAATAAAATGCCAGTGCATAATGTCAAAGCGGTAAAAATGGATATGAAGGGGTTTAGATTGTATTAATGGGCCTAGAAGAGTGTGTGTGTGTGTTTTTTTTTTTTTTAAATTGTAACTTCTAAAATGAAATATTTCATCACTTCATTTTCTTCCCTTCCAATTATTTCATAAACGCTTTATTATTATTTTTACTAAATTTTAGGGTTGTTAAAAAAAAAATGGAACCAACAATAATTGAACGGTAGCATTGGAAACAGCATGAGGGTTGCCTTCGGTCGGTGAAATCAAACCGTCCAACGCCGCCTCTTCTTGTTTTTGGGCCTTCGCCACCCATCTCTTTCTCTTCTTCATCTCTACTAGTCTACTTATTCAATCTTCTTCTCATTTTTCCCTTATGTGTGTGTATAATATTATATACTGACAATAATTTCTTAAAAACGAAGAAGAATAGAGAAACTCTAGCAGTAACGTTACGTGTGTCACCCAGGGCCGGCTCTACCTTAGAAAACATTAGGCCTAAGGCCCCAGATATACATTTTTTTGAGACTCCTAATTAATATATCTATTTATTATTATTATTTTACATTTTACATTAAAACTATAAGAACCAAAAAAAATTAGGATACTTTTCAGAGGGTTGGATCCTTGGAATTTGAAAAAAAAAAATTTAATGAAAAAAATTAAAGATTCTACCTCTTTAAGTACTTAACTTACTGAAAACAATCTTTTTAAAAAATTTTACCCTTTCACTATATCTAATTTAAAAAGTAGAAATATATGGACTAATGTTAAAGGGTAAAAATAAAAAAAAAGGTTTCATTTTAAAGCGTATTTTTAAAATTTCTTGTTAAAAATCATATAATCAAGTTTTGTTGTTAAAAAGAAAAATATTGGATATACTTTAATATATAGATATAATTAATAATTTTGCATTTCAAAAGGCAAGAAAAGTATATTTTAAATTGGTTTAATTATTTTTTTAATTTCTTTGATATAGAAGAAGACCTTTTTTAAAATTTTCGTATAAAGTTTCAAATTTACTCAAGTCTGACACTAACCTCACTTTTTTTTTTTGTTCCGATGTCCCCCTAACCCATTCTCTTTCACAGGTTCAAATTCAATTTGAATTGTGTCTAAGTTAGATTATTGACACTTGTCTCAATCTTGAGAGACGAGAAAAACTTGGGCTCCAAGTTTTAAGCCGCCGTGACATACATCACCGTTAATGTGACCAAAATTTGATCCTCGTTTCTAGGCAACAGACCTTCTATACTCTCTCATACTCACTTAGTCTCACCGTCTCAGGCATTGTGTTTATAATTCAGTCACTTTTAAATTAGACTCACTTAGAAGGTATACTCAAACTATTATTCTTGATTTTAATGTTTAAAATTTAAATTTTTTATAAAAAAACCTATAAAATCAATGATTTGAGTTTAATAACATAAAATAAACTTTTTATGGGAGGAAAATACTGTAGAATAATAAATCCCCATTCTACCAGATTTCCTCTAAATGTTACTTCTCTGTGTCAACTAATGTAAGTCGTTCCCTTTACGGCTTTACACCTATTTCTAGTCTCAGACTCCTAGAACATATGGCCAGTTTTTTTTTTTTTTTTTTTTTTTTTTTTTTTTTTTTTTTTTTTTTTTTTTTTTTTTTTTTTTTTTCTTTAAAATTACAATTTCAGTAGAATATCTACAATTTCTAGGATGAGTGATATGTAGTTTGACCGCAACTTAAGGGAAGCAATCCTAAGAATGGTTTTTGATTATCAAGTCATGGTTTTATCTTTGAGAAAATAGATGGTTAAAAAGAATTTGTTTTCAATACTTTTCATTTAGACCCATGGAAAAGTGACATTATTTTCTATGTAAAGCAGAAATGGAGGGGTTTTCTTGCTATCTACCGGTAGAGATTGTGGAACAAATTATGCTGTGGCTGCCTCCCAAGTCTTTGATGCGATTCAAGTGCGTGAGTAAGTCTTGGTGTTCCCTTATCAATGGTTGTATCAAAGATCCAGAATTTGTGGCAAAGCACCTTCACAACACCAACAAAGACATAACTTCTAGAACACGCCACATTGTTTATTTGTATGGATTTTCCTACTTTAAGAATATGTACTCATTGCTTAGTACGTACACTGAGTGTGATGATGGTGAAAAAGAAACCATAAAGTTTGACGCCGAGTTTTTGAATTTATCGAATTTTTTGAATGGTGAGAGGTTTGCCTTTCCTGAGTATTATCATTGTAATGGCATAATCTGCCTTGATGGTTCTAAGGGGGACATGCTGCTGTGCAATCCGGCATTGCGTGAGTATCTGCTTGTGACATCAGGTAGTGCAAGCTTAGGAATCGGATTTGATACTGATTTGAGCAAAGGAAAAGGATTTGGCTATGATTCGAGAACTAACGAATACAAGGTTGTTAGTATTTTAGATTTCATTGATGATATTGATGGACCAAAAAGACAAACTTGTCTGGCTGAGGTAACCACCCTTGGTTCTGGTATTTGGCGAACGATTGAGATGCCTATACATGGTTTTTCATCACGATCACTCTACAGTCATACATACTGCAGGGGAGTGTTTTATTGGATGACATCTTCTACCGAGGGTTTGATCCTTTCGTTCAACATGTGTGATGAAGTATTTCGTTGCATAGAGCCTCCAAATGATGTTTTCTTATCTGATGGATCACATTGGTGGACTACTAAGCTCAGGGTGTGGAATGACTCTCTTGTCTTATTGTTTGATAATTGTCCTTGCGGGCAGGGGACCGAACCAAGATCCATTGATATGTGGGTGATGAATGACAACAATGGCAGTGGCAAAAAAGGTTCGCGTTCATGGATCAAATATCTTACGATAGAAAACCTAAATGACATTCTTATGCCATTGACATTTTGGAAGAATGATGAGCTCCTTTTTAAGGATTTAGGTCAAGTAAAGGTGGTCTCCTACAACATCCAAAAGAAAGAGTTTAGAGACATTGACATTGATGGACAGAGTCAGAGTAGATTGTCCTTCGTGGGAACCCATGTTCCCAGTTTGGTTTCGATAAGGGAAAAATGCAAGCTCAAATTTAGGTAATATATATTTTTTATATCTACAAGTAAAAGAAGCATCAAAGCAGTATGTATTAGTCTATTGACTAGGAATTCAGAGATTCTAGGAGACTTTCTTATCTCAGTTTGGGATTAGTTTACCTTTCTCTATTGGTTTACTTGGAAAATTGATTTATCTTCTAGGAAGAATAATATAATTAGTATATTAGTCTAATAATTTTGCGAAAAGTCTGTCAAGTTTAATTGTCGTTTCTTTTACTATTATGTCGATTGGCATAATTGGTTTGGTATTCTGTTATCATTTTTGTATGTGAGCTATAAATAGGCACATTACTAATTGTAATAGAAGATTTTTGAATATAATAGTAATTGAATACTAGACTTGTGTTTTCTCTTCAATTTGGGAGTTTTCTCCTTATGAGGTTGTTTTTAGGTGGATTCGGAAATCTTTTGTCCGGATTAGGCCGGTAAAATCCGTTTTCCTTCATTCTGTGTTAGAATGTATGCTTTTGCTCGGATAGCTTCTCAGAAAGCTGATGTTATGATAAATGTAAATAGACAAATCCAAACAGTGAGGAACATATGATTTTGGCTGAATCGTAGGTGAGAAAAATATGATGACATTTTGTATGTTGGTTTGTTTAGGATATTCAGTGGTGGAGCCAAGACATGTTTTCAGGGGCGTTGTGAAACTAAAATTATAATGCAATTTTATCTTTCTATATTTTCTTAAACTCCCAATGTAGCTTTGTCTTGAAGACATTTAGGTTCCATTCATTTCATCAATTCGAGTTTTGTTGCAGTAAAAATCTTTCAGAAATAATCACATCTAATTTTTTTGCTATAATAAAAAAATTTCATATAAAGTTACATCTTAATTCAAATTAAATATTCGAATCAGCGAATTAAACGAGACAATTTAATAAGTAAATTGAATGATGCTTTATTTGTTACTGTTTTCTGATAATTTTTTGAACGAAATTTGATATTATGTTTTTAGTTGCTAAAAATGTATAGTTGAATTTTAGGTGAATGAGCACGACTTGGTGATGTGCGTGCTGTTGATGATGACGGCATTATTTTGGACGAGTTGGTTAATGAAACTAGGGTACTTCTAGGGTCGACCTTCACTGTTTGCGATTGAAACATCCTTTTATTCTCAGCCGCTAAGATTAAAATGAATGCATGAGATTAACTTGGGGTAAACGATCTTTTGGCAAGCGATGTAAGAAGTGCATCCGGTTATCTTTATTTTAATTTTTCTTTTGATTTTTTTTTTAGAAGATTGCCGAAAAAAAGATATTACTCAATGAGTAAAAATTCAGACTTATGCACTCTATGAGGTTCTTTTTTTAGGAGAAAGAGAAAAATATGTTAAGACTTGAGATGAATTAAAATTAATAGGCTAATAGTTTACATAAATTAATAAATATGCTAAATTACTGTTTTTGTCCATAACTTGTCTGGTTATGAAACATAACTTGACAAGTTATTGTCCATAAATCACGGTTTTTGTCTATAACTTGTTTGTCTATGAATCATAACTTGACAAGTTTGTCCATAACTTATCTGGTTATAAACCATAACTTGACAAGTTATGGCCTATTAATTTCTATAACTAAAATAGCCTATATACTTTCTTAAGCTTTTCATATTGGCATATTTTCTACTATTTCTGTTTTTTTCCTTAATAACAAATAATGACCCATTTGGTTCACATGTTTAAACTCACGATTCTGATTCTGCTACAATAGTTTCTCTCACAAAAAATTTTGAAAAAAAAAAAAAAGTTTCCGCCAATGGGTTCTCTTACAAAATTTGAATACATATTCAAAATCATTGATTTGAACACATAAACTCAACGGGCTCTCAATCTGTAAAATGTCATAATTTTTTCGTTTTAACTCCTATCTTGGCGATTCTTCTTCCTATGCATTCAGAGCTAAAAAGGGAACAAATCTAGATCCATATGCTTAGGTAGTTCTTACATGAATGTCGAGTTTTTATAAGATTTATTATTAAACCCTAAATTTTTTTCAAATGATTATTTTTAACACTCTATCTAAATACGAATTTAGATTTTCTTTTTAGTTCAGATTATAATTTATCTTATACCCAAATAATGTTCGGATTACAAGTCAGGTTAAATCACTCTAGTTTACAATTTTTAGTTTAAATTAAGATCTCGTTTGATTCAAAGGTTTGAATTATGAGATTTTAAATTCTGCTCAAAATTTTTTTTCTTCTTTATTAGGAGCGAAAGAGGACCAACAACTGATAAATATTTACCATGGAAAACATTAAAGTGTTGATCTAAATTGTTTTAGTTTGAACTGTGGACTTTGTGTGGTTTAAATTGTAATATGAACTGTCGTTTGGATATATAGTTAAAAGTGTAAATCTGAAATTGAAATAAAGTTCTTCCTTTTTTTTTTTTTATATGTATTGAAAACGTAAATTTGGAGAGAGAATATATGCAAAATTGGACAGGTTAATTTTGGATATACTTGATCCCAAAATTGATAAACTTGATCTCCATATCAATTACTGTATACACCAACATGAGTTCGCAATCTTGATTGAACTAAAAAATTTTAAAATTCACCGAACCATGCTTATGTAAATTTTTCGGAATTTTTCCAACACTGAAAACATAAATTTGGATGAAAATATTTGTTAAAAGTAAAAAAAAAAATGAATTGAGAGAATAATTTACTGTAAAAAATAGTTTGACTTCTATGCAATTGCAATCAATTGCCACTAGAAAGTAGCCATTCTCAACACTAACTTCCCGCTGCCCGTCGGTTGGATGATTGGATCTTCCCGTTGTTACGGCTTTGGTCATCCATTGGTGTTCTCAACACATGACGGTCACCCGCGGCTTAACTCTCAAATTGTGTCTTCTTTATGCGTTCGTAGCGTAATAAAAAGAGTGGTGGAATCTATGAGGGTTGACAATTACCAAAAAATAAATAAAAGAAAAGATTAGTAGAAAATAACGTTAGAAGATATAAGCAAATTGAGTTGAGAAAGTATTTTTGAAATTTTCATTAAAAAGGTAAGAATTAAAAGAGAGAGATCGAATATTTTAGAGAGATTAAAGCAGAAGAAAATTGTAAAATGAATATGTGATCAAACAGGTAAGAGTATGTTTTGTTTTACAATTTAAATTTTAATTCATGAAATAACTCAATTATAGATATTGTATCCCAAATGAAGAACTAAAAAATATATGGTGCGTTTGGAACTCGTTCTAAAATGATTTTATTTTTTGTATGAAAATAAAAATAAAAACATTTTCAATCTCGGACAGAAACCATTTTTGAGAATGCGTTTGATAGTTTTATCAAGAGATTGTTTTCAGTATAAAAATGTATTAATGGGTGCGTTTAGAATTGGTTCCAAAACGTTTTTATTTTTTGTATGAAAATGAAAACGAAAACGTTTTTATTTTTATTTTGGAATCATTTCTGAAAATGTGTTTGGTAATTTTATTATGAGATTGTTTTCAGTTTAAAAAAAAAAACTGAAATTGTGTTTGGTGGTTTAATTTTTAAAAACATGTAATAATATTTAAATTAATAATATATTCAATATATTCAATAATAATATATTAAATAAATATATTAAATGAACGTGAATTTTTACATGAAATTGAACTGAAAAGGATTAATTATCAGAAAATTAATTGAAAAAAATAACAAAACATATGAAGTTTCTTTTCAAAACCCACTCAAGCTCAGAGCACTAATCCAGCTTCCACCTCCTCCTCTCGACGGCAATAGTCCCTTCTCCGACGACAATCAAAGTGAGGGAGAGGAAGTTTGAAGGCGTTGATGCAATCTTTCATCGGGATTTTTCGGCGTTGTGCGGGGGGCAGGGTTCGCGCGCGGATGAGGGCGCCGCGGTTGGGTTGAACGGCGGCGATGGGCCTAGGTCGCAGAAGGGTGGGGCTGACGGCCGTCCCTGGGTTGCTCGGCCTGAGATCTGGTTTTTTTTGTGTTTTTTTTCTCTTTTACAGATCTCAAAGTACAGATCTGGTTTTTCATTTTTTTTTAAATTGGGCATTTTTCTAAATTTTGAGATGTTGAATGATATTAGATTTGTTGTTTGTTTTTATCTGAAGATTTGATCTATTGTTTTTATTGTT